CCTTGTAAAATGCATTTCACAGGGACAATGGCTTGCATTACACTAGATTTCACCAGCATCTGAAACACACACAAAGCAAGACCTCAAGTGTGTAGAGTCCTGCTTGTGAGGAACTAGCTGGCCCTGGTATTTTGACTCAAAATACCAGTACCCCAGGAGAATCAATGAGGCACAGAGCAGTTTGGAAAGAACTTGGGCTTCAATGACAAACAGACTCAGGGCTGAAGCTCCTTATTGCCATTTACCAGCTGTGACACTGGGAACAACTGATCTCCTAGTCTCCGTTTCCTCATCTGTAAGATACATATACTCCCCCAAGAGCGTTGCTAAATGAGATCACCCGTGTACAGTGCGGTGCCTGGCACATTTACTCATGTATCAAGCATGTGCCTGACATGATGAAGGGGACAAAGATGTGCAAGATGCAGAGCTGCTGCCTGACATATTTACACTCTAACGAGGAAACCTATGTACACGTAACATCTTCATATCTCTGTGCCCCCCTTTCTTCACCTGCAACGTGTGGCAGACAGCACCACCTACTTCATAAGGTTAATTACGTATGAAGCGTTCTGAACAGCACCAGCACGTGGTAGTACTCAAAAAGCATTTCATGCTGATGACTGAGAGGAGAGTTAACATTTTGTGGAGAGAATTAGGAGTTATTTCACAGAGAAAGTGGCAGTCAGTGAGATGAGCTAGAAGGATGGGTCATTGATGTTGATGGGTCATTCTGGGCAGAAGGGATTATTAAGAACAAAGGTGCAGGGAAGGTGGGAAAGTCGAGGCAACAAACAAATATTTCTTTGTTATGTATAAAGCATTGTCCTACACACTGGGTATACAGTGTAAAGAAGATAGAATCTGACCTCCTGGAGGTTATAGCCTAGTGGGAGAGACACATAGACAATCACACAGGTGTATCATTCAAAACAAAGCAACTTCAAAGAAAGAAAAAACAGGGAGGTGCCAAGATGGCGGAGGAAAAGGACAGGGAGACCCCTTTCTCCCCTACAAATTCATCGAAAGAACAATTGAACGCTGAGCAAACTTCACAAAACAACTTCTGATCGCTGGCTGAGGACATCAGGCGCCCAGAAAAGCAGCCCATTGTCTTCGAAAGGAAGTAGGACAAAATATAAAAGATAAAAAGAGAGACAAAAGAGCTAGGGACAGACACCTGTCCCGGGAAGGGAGTCTTAGTAGAGGAAGTTTCCAAACACCAGGAAAGAAAGTAAAAACAGGAGCTCTGACAAGAGGTCTGTTAAAGGAGCCAGGGTAGGCGTCCTCAGTCTTCAGGCAAACGTATTGGGGTGGAGTGTCAAGATCATATCTATTTATAGAAAGACATTTCTGGCATCCATGTGCAAAATTTATTGGAAAGAGGGCAAGATTTGGTTGGACTAGATGGGACGATGTAGCAGGAGTAACATCAAAAGATGATTGTGTGACTACTTCATACAAACATACTGTTACTCATAATAGCATGGATGAATCTCACAGACAAAAGAAGCCAGACACAAAGAAGAATATATCATATTATTCTATTCACATGACATTCAAGAGTAGATCTTCGTATAAATAAACTACTCTGTGGTGGATTTCAGAGTAGTGGCTGTAATGGAGGGTGTTATTGACTGGGAAAGTCATGAGGAAGGCTTCTAGGGGGCTGGAAATTATACCTGTATCTTTACTACTAATTCACACTCACTTTGTAGGTGTAATTTGGGTGTCATGGGAATGAAAGGAAGGTCTGACATGTACCATTTAAAAAAAATACAGACTCAAAATGTAATACTAAGGGGGAAAAGTAAAATAAAATATTGTATATATAATAGTATCATAACTCTCAAATAAATTAATATAATTTATTTAAAACTAAAAGGAAAACATTCAACATTTTAACATTGGTTACTTCTGGTGGTGGGATTTCAGTTAACTGCTGTAAGGAGACACCCCGAGGGGATTTTCAAGAAACACTGACATAAAGGTTAAGAGATCAACCAGCCTCGCTGAATGAAGGACAGGGACATGAATCTCAGTTCTGGTCCTTCCCAGGGGAGTGAGTTTCAAGTTCCATAACCTTTCTAACTATCAATTTCCTCAATCTTAGAAAAGGGGTCATCCAAGTGTACCTCCATGCCAGGCGTATTTGGGAGATTAAAGAGGATGAAGAATAAGCACAGTGACTGCTCAGTAAATACCTGTTATTGCTATTAAATGAAATTATGGAGGCAGATGACTGTCCACACTGCACCAACTGCTCCTCTTTTTTGGGTCATCTGTAGAGCTGGAGGTTGGCAATGTGACTTTGAGGAGGAAACCGAACATTTCTGAGATGAAATCCTCTAACTTTCTCTTACTCTGAAAGGATGGCCAAAATGTTCCTGAATTGGGAATTGAAAAGGGGGTGGTGATGGGAGGACAAGGAAATGCTATTTTGAGTATAAATTCTACAGTGTATAAAAATAAAGAATGTCATTTTAAATGGGATAAAGTTGAACATTTTGTGACTATGTATAGCTGTGAGTGTGAAAATATATAAAATGATGTTATTTAAGGAAATCATGGAAACCCATATCACTTGCCTTTGTACATAGAGATGTTTCTTCTGTACATTATCAAATAGTGAATATTATAATATAATATTTGTGTGCTATTTGAATACATGGAAAAATTTTTAATTAAAATTAACAAACTCTTCCAGACATCAGTGGAGCCAATAGCTTCTCAGGTAGAATTAAAGGAAATTTAACTAGTGGTTTAAGTCAATCATCAAGGTAGCATGAAATGCACATGTACCCCAAATATTCACATCTCTATCTCTCTGCTCAAGGAGACAGGCTTATGATATTTAATACTTGTTGTTCAGTCGCTCAGTTGTGTCCGACTCTTTGTGACCACATAGACTGTAGGACGCCAGACTCCATGTTCTTCACCATTTTCCAGAGTGTCTTCAAACTCATGTCCATTGAGTTAATGATGCCATTCAACCATCTCATCCTCTGTCACCCTCTTCTCCTCATGCTGTCAATCTTTTCCAGCATCAGGGTCTTTTCCAATGAATCACATTAGGTGGCCAAAGTATTGGAACTTCAGCCTCAGCATCAGTCCTGCCAATGAATATTCAGGGTTGATTTCCTTTAGAATTGACTGGTTTGACCTCCTTGCAGTCCAAGAGACTCTGATTCTTTCTCCTGTGAATCTTGATTCCAGCCTGTGTTTCATCCAGCCCAGCATTTCGCATGATGTGCTCTGCATATGAGTTAAATAAGAGGGTGACAGCATACAGTCTTGACGTACTCTTGACGTACTTGACCTACTTCCCAATTTTGAACCAGTCCATTGTTCCATGTATGGTTCTGTTTATTCTTGACCTGTATACAGGTTTCTCAGGAGGCTGGTAAGGTGATCTGGTATTCCCATGTCCTTAAGAATTTTCCACAGTTTGTTGTGATCCACACAGTCAAAAACTTCAGCTTAGTCAATGAGGCAGAAGATGTTTACTGGAATTCGCTTGATTTTTCTATGATCCAAGGGACGTTGGCAATTTGATCTTTGATTCCTCTGCCTTTTCTAAATCCAACTTGTACATCTGGAAGTTCTCGATTCATGTATTATTGAAGCGTAGCTTAAGGATCTTGAGCATTAACCTTGCTAGCTTGTGAAACAAGAGCAATTGTACAGTAATTTGAACATTCTTTGTCATTGTCCTCCTTTTGGTTTGGAATGAAAACTGACCTTTTCCAGTCCTATGGCCACTGCTGAGTTTCCAAATTTGCTGGGATATTGAGTGCAGCACTTTAACAGTGTCATCTTTTAGGATCATGATATTTAATACTGCCAGTCAATAAAACCATGCCAAGGCCAAAAACGTGTTAAACTAGCCTTTTTAAAATAACAATAAAAAGGAAATGACAAGTAATCAGAAGCCTGTTATGTTATACACAGAAAGACTACAATTATGGGAAAGGGGGCATAAAATTTTGTTTTATTTTATTTTTCATAGGAAGTTTCTGAAAATCATTATTTTGATACCTAACCGGATCTAATCTTATACTTTCATTCATAGCATGGGTAAGGCTTCCCAGGTAGCCCTAATGGTAAAGAGTCTGCCTGCCATTGCAAGAGATGCAGGAGACACAGGTTTGATCTCTGGGTCGGGAAGATCCCCTGGAGAAAGGAATGGCAACCCACTCCAGTACTCTTGCCTGGAAAACTCCATGGACAGTGGAGCCTGGTGGGCTAGGGTTCATGGAACTGCAAAGAGTCAGATATGACTGAGCACACAGCATTAGCAGGAAATTGTGTCAACATTAGCCTGTCTCTCTGTCTGCATTCCAATAAAAAATTGTGCAACATGATAAAATGCACACAGGGTATTCTGAACTGCTATCTCTGAATAATAATGATATTGGTAATAATTATATTAGCTACCATTTTATTAATACTTATTTATGCAGCTGGTATTGCACTAAGCATTTTATATGTATTAATTAACCTATTTTCTCCAATAAAAGTAGTAGGGAGGTATTTTAGGTATTTTATTAGGTCCACATTACCGGTGAGAACAATAAAGCTTAGACTAGGGGAACTGACTGCCTGAGTTTTCCCAGGATGTGGGATTTCCAGTGCTGATACCAGAAAAGTCCTGGGCAAAATGCATGAGTTGGTCACTCTATAAAAGTGACTTGCTTGAATTTTAAGGGGTAGAGAGGGATTTAACCTCTCCTCACCTTGTCTTGTCAGATTTCCTATGTACTGCCCGCCCAAGTCTAGATTATAGTCCCAAATAAACAACAAATACATTCTTTGGCAGCATGGGGGAGGTATCTAAGTTGAACTTTGGGAATATTATTCTGGGTGATGTAATGAAAAATGTCATTTTGCAGGTCCCTGTCCCAAACCACGGAGCCAGTGAAGCTGAACCTCTCTTTACAACATGTCCAAAGGGCTTGCGTGTCATTGCGATCTGACATTCAGAAAGAAAAACCACTCACCTTGGGAAGGGGATAGAGGTGACACAAGGGTTGGCCAGGATCCTGTTTACAAAACTCCAGGGTGTGACACACCACATCAGCATTCATGTGTGCTCTGAATCTGGCAGGAAATAGGGCAAAACAAAGGCTATTTAAAAAGCTCTCAGGTATTAGAAAACAGAAGTAATTTCGAAAGAAGGTAAAAATCCCTGGAATGGATTCTGGCATGGCCTTTGAGTCCAGTACTGTGTAGCTGCTGGATCATAACGATTTCCTGCCACTTGCATTCTACTTTTACAATAAGGTCCTGGGGGTGGGGAGAGAGGGGCTAACAGCACTGAGCTGTAAGCCAGCCTCTTGCATGGGCGATGGGATGCTTTTCTAGAAAAGCCATGAATAAAATTGAGATAGGGAAATGGACAGGGGTGTAATTTGATGGGAACAATATTTTAAAGTTTGCTGAGCCTTATAGCAAAAAATGTCTTTATGATATGGCCTTAAACACCTGAAATCATTTTCTTAGGTGCAATCAAATCATCTCTTTTCCTTTTAAAGTAAATTAATTTTTTTACCTTTGAATTTTTCCCCTGGGGATGGTGTAAGGATACTGGTCTTCAAGCATTTTGGTTTATGTTTAGGTTTGAAGGGGCTAAAACAAATCTTCCATATTCATTTTCTACTTGCCACTCCCAACACACTTCTTAAACCAAGAAAATGAATAAAAAAGAATTAAATGATACCATAAAAAAGAATAAAATAATGCCATTTGCTGCAACATGGATGGACCTAAAGGTTATCATAAGTGAAGTAAGTCAGACAAAGACAAATATTATATGATATTACTTATATGTAGAATATAAAAAATAGTTCAAATGAACTTATATACAAAATCGAAATAGACTCATAGAAAGCAGACTTAAGGTTACCAAAGGGGAAGCAGGGAGGAATAAATTAGGAATATGGGATTAAAAGATGCAGACTAACATACAAAACAGATAAACAACAAGGTTTTACTATGTAGCACAGGAAACTATATTCAATATCTTGCAATAAACTATAATGGAAATTAATAGAAAAGAAATATACGTATAACCAAATCACTTTGTTGTACCCATGAAACTTAGACAATATTATAAATCAACTATACTTTTATAAAAAAGAAAAAAAAATTGAAGGTCACTAGTATGTGAAAACATAGGCTAAGATCATGGCTTCTAAATTTCATTCCAGCTGAATGAGACTAACAATGTAACTGGCAAGATGGCTTTTCAGCCTTTTGTGAGCACCTGAGTTAAGAAGGCAAAGCGAGATCATCATGAATCATCCATTTGGCTCCAGGGTTTCTGCATGGGAGGTGGAGGGGAAGGTAACCAACTTAAAGGTGGCTAAGCAGTGGGACAAGCTGTTTGTGACACACAAGGTCCATTACCAAAGTAATATCTACCCAGGGTCAGTAAATCAGGAGAGGGTGACTGTTTTCACACATCTGTTCTCGATTTAATGGTTCATTTATTTAACTGATGACTGCTGTCTTTGTGGGAATCTGGTATTTAGTGGACTCAGAAGGGTGATAAATAGGGCTCTGCTTAATTTTTTTTTTTTTAACCTAAGGCCAATATCCCATCTGTGGCAATTCAGAACCACAAGAGCCAACTCATCATATGGTGTCCCCCTATTCTCTTTCCCCTGCAAATAGAACACAATTTCAAGTAAGTGAACTTGGATATGAGAGTGAAGATGGGGGTCCCTCATTCAGAGTGGTGTTCTCTGAACTGAAAAATAGGAGAGGGAGGCCGGACATGTGGTATCCCTCCCGAATTCTCTAAGACCAGAGTTTTATCTTCAGAAAGGCTGAAAGTGAGAAGCACTCCTTTGGGAAAGAATAGAAAATGCTGAGCCTCATACGTCCAGACAAGTGTAACACGACAAGGATGTGCAAGCTGCAAAGAAGTGGCGAAATAGCATGTGTGCTCTTGACCAACCATAGGACAAAAGGCCTAGACTACACATACTTTGTGAAATCCTTAGGAAATCTCCAAATTTCCTACCAGGGGGATCCCTGGTAGCTCAGCTGGTAAAGAATCCACCTGCAATGCAGGAGACCCTGGTTCGATCCCTGGGTTGGGAAGATCCACTGGAGAAGGGACAGGCTACGTACTCCAGTATTCTTGGGCTTCCCCAGTGGCTCACGTGTTAAAGAATCTGCCTGCTATGTGGGAGACCTGGGTTCAATCCCTGGGTTGGGAAGATCCCCTGGAGAAGGGAGAGGCTACCCACTCCAGTATTCTGGCCTGAAGAATACCATGCGATTGCAGAGTTGGACATGACTGAGCAACTTTCACTTTCACTTAGGAAATATCCAAACCTGTAATAACTATTCCCACCCAACATTGCTTTCTCTTTTCCAGAGCAGCAAATAAGACCAAAGTGGTCACATTTCAATTTATATCCTTTTACCATCTTTACAGGAGTGAGTCTTGTGGGGAGGAAACTTCAACACATTTGGCAGAGCTAATTAACAAATTTAATTAGGATCATGGTAGAATGAAGTCAATGGTGATGATCGTTCATCATTATCATAACTCAGAAGAAGGAAAAAAAAAATAACTCAGAAGAAGGAAGCAAGGTCAGGGTTAAGTTTGGACAGACAGGTATGATAGCTTATGGCAGAGAGCAAGGACGGGGCCTTTCACACTTGAAAGCTCTCAGATTTAAACCTTTGACATCACTTCCAAAGGAGGATTTATGCATTAATATATAGTCGCAGAGACACACTCATAGCATTGAAAGAAGATCTTCCTCATACGACTTAACAATTTTATCCCACTTCTGGACTACACTCTTCAGAGTGTACTATGAATTTAATCATTTATAGAAATCTTGTAGTTATCCTTTTTCTTATTTACTCTTATTGAATTATAGCTGATTTATAATGTTGTTAATTCCTGTTATATAGCAAAGCAATTTTCTTATATATATATCTGTATATGTATATATATATATATATATGCTGGTTTTTTTTTTATTATTCTCTTTCATTATGGTTTATCCTAGGATTTTTTTTTAATTGGAGGATAATTGCTTTACCATGGTATGTTAGTTTCTGCTGTACAACAGTGCGAATGAGCTGTTAAGTATACATATATCACCTCCCTCTTGAGCCCCCCTCCCACCCCCTTGCAATGTCTTGTGAATGGCTCAATTGTAATACTTTATATTTTTGTCCTTTAAAAATACATTCATTACACTTAAGGTGTATCAAAATTGTTATAAACTCTGTTTGGCATTTTTCTTCTAAACATGTGAGTAGTTTAGGCCTCTTCTGAACTCTGACAGCTCTTAAGTTGGAATATAGGAATTTATGATTGGGAGCATAGATACTACGAAGCAAGGGAAATGAGCAGAAGACCAGCATCAGGTTTGATATGGCAATATTTGGCACAATGGATGTCAAAACAAGGAGGACTGGGCACATGGTTGCCGGCTGGGCGAGGTGGCTCATGGAAGTAGCCCAACCTGTCTGACCTGGGTTCTTGGGGGAATGAATGCCTGAGTGCTAAGGTGGCCCCACTTCCTAACAGTATCTTGTGGTTTGCCAGTGGGTAGGAAATGTAATTGCTGAATAATTAGTCCATGAATCACTGAGAATTGACTGGAGTGAAATAATGAGGAGAGATGCCCTCTGGGTTGGGAAATACATTTAATATTGGAAGCCTGAAATTTAGGTAAAACTAAATTATAAGACTGTCATGTTCAGGGTCTACATTGACCCAGAACTTCATGTGATTGGTTAAAACAAGCTGTAAGAAGAGGCCACCATAGGAAGAGAAATTTCTATCAGCAAACAACTAATACGGGTCCTGAAAAATTACTCACAAACAAAACTAACAGTGGATGGAACCACAAAGAGGGATTGTTTATTACATCTATCTTTCTTCAAAGTGACTTATCCCATGCTAGTGAGAATTAGCCATCTTACAACTTTGAGTCATCTCAAAGAAAAAACTTTCCTCCTTTCCCTATCACCTACTCTTTCAGTGGCTTGCTGGGCCCATTCTTTCTCAACCCTCTGTGTCCATTTGTAGTTATTTGAGGTGGGGACTGTCTCTTGTACAGTCCACACCTATAGTACTAGTGCAAAGTCTGTCCTTCCTTTGATCCCATGCTTACCTGGCTCTTGCACTCAGCACCCTCCAGCCAACTATAGAATAACAATGGATATCCCAGTGAAACCAGGCCACTTCCCTATTACTCCCAGCACACTTGGTAGCTAATCTCTGATATCCCTTTTAGATATCTGTCTGTACTGCCCATTTTGGCATCTGTGGCTGCTTTCTACTTACCTCTCCAGTTCCCTAATCCAGGTCCAAGAAAACCTCTCTGGCCAAGCTGATGATTCCCCAGCGCACTTGGCTCAGACTAGGTGTGTAAACAGATTCACTATAGGCTAATTTTTTTTTCTTTTTTATATGTTCAAGTAATTTTCTTTGGAGCAGTCCAGTCAGAGTTCATCTGTGGTGATAATTTTGTTTTTAAAAAGAATTAATCAATTTAACAAATGTTTATCAAAGACTTTCTATGCTTAAGTATTGCCCCAAACCCTGGAGTTATAGGCTTCCCTGGTGGCTCAGATGGTAAAGCATCTGTCTGCAATGCAGGGACCTGGGTTCGATCCCTGGGTCAGGAAGATCCCCTGGAGAAGGAAATGGCAACCCACTCCAGTACTCTTGCCTGGAAAATCCCAGGGACATGGAAGCCTGGTAGGCCACAGTCCACGGGGTTGCAAAGAGTCAGACACAACTGAGTGACTTCTCTTTCTGGAGATACAAAGATCCCTCCTTCCTCCTTTCATCCTTCCTTCTGTATATTCAGTATTTTGCTTAAGTATTAATATTTTACTTAAGATGAAAAAATGTAGTCTTAGTTTTCAGAAGTCTTTCAATCTAGTTAGCAACTCAGAAATGTAAATGGAGAATTACATTACAAACAGATGTGAAAAGCACACAGGAGTTTGCATAGGAAAGGAAGAATTTGTGTGAGTGTGTGTGTGTGTGTGTGTGTGTGTGTGTGTGTGTGTTGGAGGTATCTATCTTAGCCTGGGGATAGTCAGGGAAACTTCCAGAGGAAGTGACCCTGGAGCTAAGATCCACAGAAGTAGGAGNTGCACGGGGAAGACCCAGAGGGATGGGATGGGGAGGGAGGTGGGAGAGGAGATTGGGATGGGGAACATATGTAAATCCATGGCTGATTCATGTCAATGTATGGCAAAAACCACTACAGTATTGTAAAGTAATTAGCCTCCAACTAATAAAGATAAATGAAAAAATAAAAAATAAAGAAAATGACAATGGCATACATACTGAACCCTAAGGGGCAGGGGTTGGAGAAGTGGAGAAGGCCAGGAAACCAGCAAGTGGGAGGCAAAAAGAGAAGAACCTGAGACGCATACGTCCTGAGGATCCAGGAGGGAGTGTAGGGAAAGCTCAAGAGAAGTGGGCAAACATCCAGTCCCAGCCACTAGGCTCTCCTCATTTATCGGCATTATTGGTCAAAATTCTTCTGAACGGCTCTTGGAGAGAAGCTGAGCCAAGTTGCCACATGATAATTTGAAGGGAGACTTTGCCTAGAATGACGATCTGAGTCAGGTTTGAATTTTCCACTATTAACAAGAACCAGATAGGACTTATGCCCATGTACAGTAAGCACATCCGGCTGGAAATGGAGCCAGGTGTCTCCCAGTTTTCTGCCATCCCCTCCTCCCCCCATGTCCCAGCAACGGAATCAGATGAATGTGTTAGCATACTCACAGTTTTATGATGTCTGGTCCAAATATATGTACCACTAAATAGCAAGTGGTCTTCAAGAACAGTTTTTCTAAGAAAGATAAAGCAGGAGAAATAGATTATTATGATGAATTTAACACATGAGTCAATAATGATCTTTACTAGGAACTGAAGCTGAGTGCTTAATTTATCATTAATTCAAGTGATTAATTAGAAGGATTTGGAGAAATGTTACAGTTAATGTATCCATGAAAATATCATTTCCAACTCTGATTTATGTAAATGCTACTTTGCTTACTGTACCTGATAAAGAATGCTAATTTTTTGATAAAACTACAGTTAAATTCTGGAGTCTTATTTTATCTTTTGTGTAGCAGGGAACATCTCGTGGTGAGGATCTCATCTGTTGATGACAGAAACAGGATTTGCCTGAAAGTAAATAATCTGAAGTATTGCTTTGTTGAAAATATTCTTCTCTGGTATTCATTTGGGGGGAAAAAAGACTTGACTTTGACTATTTAGCTTTTGCTGTTGGTATCCCAGAGATAAAAAGCTACCAACAGTCACAGGTGTCTCTGCATTGCCATCTACACCAGAGAGAACTCACACACATAGACACATGCAAACCCACTACCTAAACAATCTCCTTCCTCCTGCTTCCCCTGTTACAAGTATAGGGAGGCTTTATGCATCAATCTGTTTGCACAATGAAACCTGTTAACTCTTTGGTCCTGTTTCTCCAGTTTGTCAGCCGCTATGGAACCCTGGTAATCCCAAGGAGGACTTTAGCAAGGTTGGGATAGATGGACTGTCCAGGAACAGATGGGAAACCCTCCCTGAGAATTTTTCTTGTCATGTTTACCTCAAAGTGGGATACCAGTTACTTGGGGAGTAGGGAAATGGAACAAGAAGATAAATATGGAAACTCTCTCTAGTACTCTTGAAAGTGAAAGTACTCATTGCTTATTCATGTTCCACTCTTTGTGACAGCATGGGCTGCAGCCCACCAGGCTCCTCTGTCCATGAGATTCTCCAGGCAACAATACTGGAGTGGGTAGCCATTCTCTTCTCCAGGGGATCTTCCCAACCCAGGAACTGAACCGGAGTCTCCTGCATCGTAGGCAGATTCTTACTCAATGGTAAATAACCATCAGGGAAGCCCAATGTAAATACTACTTTCATATTAAAATAGTTTCATGGGACTTTTTTGTGTGTGTGTGTGATAAAGCACAAGACTTCAAATTCATTATGCTTTTAAAGTAGGAACTTAAAACCGATCACACATTACTATTGACCTTACAGAAATAAAAAGAATGATAAGGAAATACTATGACATCTGCATGGCAGCAAATTAGATAATTTAGAAGAAATGGACAAATTCCTAGAAAGACAAATTGCTGAAACTGACTTAAGAATAAATAGACAATCTTAATAGAGCTATAACAAGAGATTTAATTAGTAATCAAAAATATCCCATAGGAAAGCCCAGGGCCAGATAGCTTCACTGGTGAATTGTACCAAACATTTTCAAAAAGCATCTGACTAGATATTCTCCAAAGAAGTTACACAAATAGCTAATTAGCACATGAAAAGATGGTCAACATCATTAGCTATTAGAGGAAAATGTTAGAAACCACAATGAGATACCACTTCATACCCACTATGATATGCTAGAATAAAAATAAAGATAAGCACAAGAAATGATGAGGCTGCAAAGAACTTAGAATCTTCATATTCTGCTGGTAGGAATATAAAATGGTACAGCCACTTTGGTAAACAGTGTGACAGGTCCACAAAAGGTTAAGTATAGGGTTACTATGTGAGCCAACAAGCCCACTGCTGGCATATACCCAAAAAAATACAAACATTTCCAAACAAAAACTTACACATGAATGTTCATATTGGAATTATCTATATACAAAATCAAATAAGTAGAGACAATTCAATCCAAATGTCCATTAATGACTGAATGGATGAACAAAATAGTCTATCTACACACAACAAAATAGTATTCGGCTATAAAGAGTAATGACTTTCTGATACATGGTACAACATGGATGAACATTAATTATGCTAAATGAAAGAAACATACTTCTGTGATTACATTTATATGAAATGACCACAATAGACAAATTCATAGAGACAGAAAGTCAATTTGTGGTTGCTTAGGGCTGGAAGGAATGGATGGTTAGGAGTGGGCACCTCAGGTGGGTGGAGGTCCTTGTTGATATGATGAAAATATTCTTAAATATATGGTGGTGATGGATGTACAACTCCATTCAGCTAGTAAAGAATCTGCCTGCAATGCATGAGACCCCGTTTCTATTCCTGGGTCAGGAAGATCCCCTGGAGAAGGGATAGGCTACCCACTCCAGTATTCTTGGGCCTCCCTGGCGGCTCAGATGGTAAAGAATGCACCTGCCATGAGGAAGACATGCATTTAATCCTTGCGTTGGGAAAATCCCCTGGAGAAGAGAATGGCTACCCACTCCAGTATTCTTGCCTGGAGAATTCCATGGACAGAGGAGCCTGGAAGGTTACAGCCCATGGGGTTGCAAAGAGTCGGACACAACTGAGTGACTTAATTATTAATTTAAGTATACACTTTAAATGCATGCATAATTGAACTAAATCTCAATACTACTGCTGTAAAATAAAAACAGCACCCCTTGGGTGTTCCTTTTTAGGGATCCTAAGGAACTTTGATGTTCCAGAACTCAGAGACTTTGGTTTCAGCACTGGGTAACTGGCTTCGACTTTGGTCAGGTTGATTTCCCTTCTGGATTTCAGTTCCCTCATATGAAAAATGTAGGAGTAGGATTCAGTTCCCTTCACTATGTTGTCTTGGAAGTTTGGAGGATTATGTAACTGACATTCAAAATTACATGGACTTGTAAAGCACTTTGGAAATGAGTTGCCAGTGTTGTTCGTGTGGCACTGGTTCAGCCAAGAGCAGAGTAATTTAAAAATTGACACCAGGTGTTCTTTGATACACTTGTAGTGTTGCCTGAAATGCAGAGAACAAGTTTCTTCTCTCTGGTAAAATAAGAGATGCTTATGGGTGTGTGAGCGTGTATTTTTTCTAGAATCTTGTTTTGCTCAAGTTAAAGTGAGTGGCAGCAAGATTTGCCTAATCCTCTGTGCAGGGCCATCTGAACAATCAGTTTCCTCAAATTCTGTGATGGTTTAGAATGAGAGGCTACTGCAGAAATGGCTAACGTGGGACACAAGCTGGGTTTCTGAGGGCTAAACTCTAGATAGACTTCAGAGCAGAGATAGGCAAAGTCTCTAGAAAAAGCCTGATCAGGCCTAGTCAGCCACAATTAGACGATAACCTGTTATTGCTAGATTGACACTAACATAGTGCTAGTAACCTATCTGATGCAAAAAGTCAACAGTTAAATTGTGCTTGCGACCAGGAAGGTACAAGAGCATTTAATTTCTACAGAATAAAAAGGACTTGAAACAGCGTAGGGATAAAAAGGTATGGCCACTTCCAAGGGCAAAGGAAGGTTAAAAAAGGAACAATTGCGCAGTCATCATATGTTAAGTGTATTCATATTATATGGGTGTAAATAAAACCTAGAACATTTCAGGTAGTAAGTCACCTTTAGGTTTACCATCATTTCTTTTCTCATAAGAAAATTTAGAGGGAGTGGTTTTTTTCATCCTCATTCTATGAGAAGAAACTTTGAGAATTGAAGGCTTCCCCAAGGGTAGAGTGGTTCAGTAAGAGGTTAAAATCTTTTATTCCAAAAGCCCAAGTTATTTGTAGTATGCATTTCAATGTACTTAGGACATTTTTTGATGCCTTATCTACCTCAGTCATGGCAGGTATATACCAACTTACTAATTAGACATTTAAAACACAGTGAATTGACCACCAAGATAGTTCTGTGGCTGTATGTTCTAAGGCTGCATGTAGATTTTCAGAGCCTACAGAATGCAAGGAGAGTGGCTTTTCTCATTTTAAGTTGACATCAGTTTTTAACTATCATACTCCAAAGAGATAAGATTTCTGCACAGGTGACCCAAGAAAGTGAAGTTCTAGCAAGACACTGAGGGCATAGGAGTCTGCTGACCCCTAGTGAGAATGATTCCATTAATCATTTTTCCATTAGCAATTCTGAGATTCTTCCAAGGTGTTTACTAATGAGAGCCAGAGGCAAAAGCAGTGGGTGGAACTGAAGGTCAGAAATACTTTGCACAATTTGAAAAAACTGTCTTCCCAGGCACAGGAAAGGCCAACATGATTCACCGAGTGATTATTCTCAAGAATGTTGCTGCATGCTTTTTCTGCTAAGGTTATGTTTTATAAACTTATTTAGCTTTGGAGGTAAAGCAGTATTACTTAAAAGTAATTTTAAAAATCATAACTGTTGCTGTGCATAATTTGACTTCCCCTCTCTCCCATTCTCCTGGCTCTCTAGAGAGAAGGCAACACTGGGGGTACACAGGCAGTGTGGATATTTTTATATTTCATAAACAAAACAGTCCTATGATGTCTTCTAGAAGGAGAAATCTTTAGCCAACGGTCAGACTGTCACTGTTACCCTACACAATTCATATGACTGTTCTGTTTGTTCTTCCACCTCCACAAAATGGAAACAGTAACATCCACTCTGCCTTTATGTCTGTCAGGTGAAAGAGCCTTTAATCTGAACTGAGTACTTTACTTCCATCCAGATATAAATGTTAATTAATAAAATGAAAATACCCCCAAGTAGGCTTATGAATTCTTTGAAAAGCTCCTCTAATTGAAAGGTGGCCCACTACTGAAAACAGAAATACCTACTTTGCTTCCCAGCTACTATTTTACCGGAATCTGACTTTCAGCCTCTCATTTACCTGAACAAAAATTTTTTGTTAAGAGTCAGTAGGACCCAAGATGGAACCTTGAATACCCACAATCTTGGTTCATGCGTTTTTATGTTTTGCTGGTACATTCGAATAGGATCATCTGAGAAACAGGATTTTTACCCATGCTTTCAACTTTGAACAACAAAACTTTGCCTAAAAAGAGAAAATCAAACTCAAGGCACAAATGGTGATATCTATCAGTATGGTCTACTAAACAGAAATGAAAACTGG